GAGGGGCTGGTGGGACTCCACCTTCGAGTCCGTCCTGTTAGGTCTGGGGCCCTCGGAGCGGCGCTGGCAGTCCGCTCCCCCGCCGCTCCCTGGAGGGGGGCCTCTGCGAGCAGAGGCCAGGGTGAGCAGGTCCCTGCAGGGTCTGGGTTGTGGCGGTGGCATTTGGTGCATGGTGAAGCAAGGCGGGCGCATCTCACCAAGGGCTCAGTGCTCGGTGGTCGTTCTGGCTTTCTCATCTAGCTCCCACCAAACTCCCAAACGCACTGTGGTTCTGAGCATTTACAGGCTCCGGTGGGTCTAGTGGCCATGCTGATACCGCCTAAATTGTTCATAAAATGATCTGGCATTCAAATATTTCAGTATTATCTGGCTTTTCTCTCCCCACAAACCTTTGGTTCTGAACTATGCTGTGTTCAGGAAGTTTCAGCTAACTTGAGGCACTTACTGCTGGGCTGTTCAGTTAATTACGTCAATGTTGTTAATAATACATATTAATGTTGCTTGTCTGCATTCCATACTCTTCTTGCATTTTTGGAGTATGTTTTCTGTTGGAAAGTGGTTTAATATTCAGAAACTGATTGCAAAGTCTTGTTTTGAGATATGATCCTGAAAGCCCTTTTCTGTGTAAGCGGTCTGGCTTACTGGATTAAGTTTTTGTGGTTTTATGTCTGGGATCTGTATTTGAGATTCTGAATTGCACCCAAAGCCATAGGAATGGGTGGAAAATCAGTGAGGGGAAAGCAGGGGAGTAGGAGAATAATGGAGTAGGAGAATAACTCCACGCTGCTGTTGAAATAAAAGTTTCACAAGTAGAGAAAACAGGGTTTGCTTCTTGTATGCTTCTCTTCCTCTTTCTTGCCTTCCTACTTTGCCCTCTTCAGCTTTTGTTTCAGTGCATTACTTTGTACTAGTACAGATTTTTGCAGGCTAATTGTTAAAAACATTGCTTGAGTTTTTTGGTCTGGCTGTCTACCTGTCTTTGGGATGCCTTCCTAATGGCAACAGGACCAAAGTCGTAACTGCAGTGGAAGTGAGTTCTCTATGGTTCAGAAGCTATGTATGTGGATGACTTAAAAATTCACTTAATTTTTTTCTTCTTGTTCCAGATGGAAAAGAAGAGTTCATGGTTTCTGGTTTGCATAATAGAAGAGGCTGAATAGGCATAAAGGAGACTATAGTGCGGGTGAGAAGCATCAAGCCCATTGGAAGGCTTTGCTCTGTAAAAAAGAAGAAATGAATCCTGCAAATGAGGATCCAGTGTTTGGGACCATTTTTGACTGGGACTATCTCTTATGGGAAGTTCGTTTGACATTTTTAGCTGCTGGTTTTTTAATCTACTTGGGAGTATTTCTTCTGTCTCACTGGTTGTCTTCATGGACGAGTACCACTTACCGTGCCTTGTCAGCAAAGGAGAAGGTGTTTTGGAATATGGCGGTCACACGTGGTGTGTTTGGACTTCAGAGTTGTGTTGCTGGGTTATGGGCTTTGCTTATAGATCCTGTTTTTCATGCTGACAAAGTGTATTCACAGCAAAAGTGGAGTTGGTTTAACTGTTTAATAGCTGCTGGATTTTTCTTGCTTGAAAATGTAGCTGTTCACATGTCCAACATTATTTATAGAACGTTTGATGTATTCTTGGTAGTTCATCACTTGCTTGCTTTCGGTGGCTTGGCTGGTCTAGTAATTAATGTGAAGTCTGGACATTATCTGCCTTTGATGGGAATGTTGCTGGAGATGAGTACTCCCTCAACGTGCATTTCCTGGATGCTTCTAAAGGTAAGAACGTGATAATTTTCAAATTATGTTTGTGACAGTTCTCATGCATCTCACTCGTCCATAGGTAATCTGTGTGGTTTGTCTAGATAGCTTTTCAGCAAGACTGCGTTCATCTAACTGATACCCGTGTTATTGTGATACCTGCTTTTGTCGTGATGGTATTTCTGTAGTCCTTCATATAGGTTTCTGTGTGATGCTGTGCGGATAGTGAGATGGTATAGATTCATTCAGAGTTTGAGATGCCGTATGCATGGGGAATATCATAGCTCTACGTGGAAAAAATGCCTGAGAGCGTGTGTGTGTGAAAGCTGGATATTTGCAGTAGTTCTACAGATTCCTCAGTTCCTTATCTTGAAGTAACAATCTCACTTTGCATACTTTCTGTTCTTGTTTTTTCTAGGCTGGCTGTGCTAATACCTTTTTCTGGAAGGCAAACCAGTGGGTGATGATCCACCTGTTTCACTGCCGCATGATTCTTACTTACCATATGTGGTGGGTGTGTATTTTCAATTGGAATGCTGTGATAGAAAATCTGGGACTTATTCATTTTATTGTTTTATTCTCGGGATTATTTGCCGTTACACTAATACTTAACCCATACTGGACATACAAAAAAACGCAGCAACTCCTCAGCCCAACTGACTGGAACTTTGAAAATAAAGCAACAGAAAATGGAACATTAAATGGTGAAACACATCAAAAGAAGAGGATGTAACACTGAAACAGCTCTTTCCTAGTAGGATAGTGGAAGAATACAACGGGAAGTAGTTCTTTGCCCATGAAGTAGAACCTTTTGCAAGAAGCTCATTAACACAGTGATTCCTTGCTGGTAGTATTCTGTATGCATCAGAAGTATTTAAAAGCATTGTTTGTGTTTCATAAATGCATACACATAAGATCTTCAACCTCTTAGTTATGAATTACACCCACAATTTTGTCAGGTTGGACAGTATTTCATGATTTAGTAGTGACATGCTGTCTAATGGTTTCCTTTGTCCTAATAGTTCCAAGTGACTTTACAGTTAATTTGTCGATTAAGCTCAGCTTGAATCAAGTTTAGCTTGAATCCTATTTCACATACATTGGAGGTACTGATACTGGAAATTACGTTGTTTATTAAGATCGATTATGACCCAAGTTAGGTATGCATGGGTACCTAGTTCCTGTGTGCCATTAAATCATTCCAAGTGGCTGAATTGGTGAGTGGTAGAATGCAGTCATGGCTGGGTTTGGGGTTTTTGTTTGTTTGTTTCTTTTTTCTTTTAAGTGCACTTGAGGAAGATAATTGTTTGAGTGTTCACTGTCAAAGTGAGTTGTAGTTTTTTCCAGGTTGTCCTCAGTATTGGAGGAGTTCATATCCACCACAAACATGCATGTGGGGATGCAGGCATTTGTTATACTGGTGGTCTAACTAGCTAATCATAGTGGTCCCTTCTGGACTTGAAATCAGTGAAATACAAGAGGCAACGATAGAACGTTTGACTGTGTTTCATCCTTGAAAAGATTGCTGGTTGATTGGTAAAATTTTCTTTGTAGGTCCCACATGAGCAGTCATGCAGTTAGTTCCCCTAGTGCTCCTGTTATGGTTCCTCTTATTTTTGGAAATTCTCTTAGAGGGTTTTAGAATCTGAGGTGACTCCTCTGTGGAGGAAAGCCCATATCACCTCCTTTAGGAGTTCAGTTGTTCTTTTAGTATTTTTATTTTACTTCGAAGAACATACAAAGTGACGCTAACAATCCTTTGCATTTTGTCTGCCACATGACTAAATCTTTCCTAGACCTAAGGAATAGGGTTACTTTTTAGATAGGAGCTTAGCAAATTGTGGTGGATGTTCTCCCACTAATAGTATTGGTCTGACGGTTCCTGGGTGGAATGTTGGACAGCGGATGAAGGTATAAAGATCACAATAGAAGAGAGTGACGCCTAGTGGCAGGAGAATGGCAAAGATATTAATTAATTTTGGCGCACTGAGCTAGTGAGATAAAAAGCCCGTCATTTGAAACTTTGTCGTGTAGTGTGACGTGACTGCTACACAGATTCATTTTCCAAAGTAGTAAGACTGGGCAAGCCCAAGCTGTGAAGAACTTTAGGTGAAGGCATGTGTTAGAGGCTTTGTGTACTGATCTGTGGTGGACCATATTGTTTTAAATGTGTGAGGGAAACACTGCTGTAAACAACCCCATTTTATTAATTTTTGGTGGGAGTGTCTTTGATTTTGTTCTGAGTGAAGGGAAGAAGCTAGTGGTCAGGTTGCTGTGTCCCCTAATTCACTCTGTGTGAGCACAGAGTTGAAGAGCTGCTCTGTGAGGGAGAGGAAACTTCTTACCATTAGGTCACAAACGGATAGCCAGATCTTGTTGACAGTGATGAAGTGGTGAATATCTGAAATTGCACGTTCAAAACTAGGCTGAGAGGGTCATAGTAGTTTTACACAGCAACTCTTATCTGTTATCCTGCTGATACTCAATAGAGAAAATCTAAATTTTGTGCTACCTTCTTATTTCTGAGCAGGCCAGAACGAGGTTGCTGTGTTTTGGCAGTGTTGCCTGTCTGGACACCATCCTATAGAAAAAAGGGCTCTTTAAAGCTTAAAATTATGTACTTCTCCTGAGGGGTTGTGTGTGGAGAGTAATGTTAAAAGTACTTTAGAAGAAAGCAGAGGGGTGAACAGAAACAGAACCCAAATATGTGATCCGAATGCGTATCTTGCAGAATCCAAACCTCACTTGCAGGAGTTCCAGGGGGGAAGGCGGAGGGTAAGTCACCAGATGTCAAAATGATGGTGTGCTCTATGCAGCTTAAAACTTAAAGGTCTGGATTCGATAAAACAAGGTAATAATTATAAAAATCCCAGCTACAGAATTCTGAACAATCCTAACACAAAACGGAAGCATCAGAACAGAAGTAAGTTTGGGCCCAGTATGTAATTCTTCTAGTGTCTGGCTAAAGGAGGTGAAGTTTCTATGTGCTAAAATAAAAGAATATGGAGGGTTGGGGTTAGTAGTGAATTGGGGCTGAATAAAGAGATTATCCGTGGTCCAAGCGGACAGGTGGCTAGTTACGTCAGTGGCACCAGACTTCCAAAGTTTAATATTTTTTATTATTAATTTGTGGAATGTTAAGTGGATTTTAAATCTTTCATTAAAAGTATTTTTTATCGTAATAAGGTAATCTTTTTAGTATGCATCTTAGTGTGAGTTTTTTTCACGCAAAGACTGTTACGGCATATCTCAAAAATCTTTTGCATGTTTTAACTATATAATTAATAATACTTAAGAGCACCTGTTAACCTAAAGACTGCTAGACCTGCTAGAACAAGACAGCTATGCAATAAAGCAAATAACAGCACTATTTTATTTCTGTTGGTTTGAGGGGTGAGGGGATTTTACAGTCCAGCTAGAAATATAGCAGGACATAAAAATGCAGACAACCTTTCTTCTTCATCTTGATGGCCTAGAGTTGGAGTTACCAGTTCTGTTACACAGAGCCTGTTTTTCTTATACTCAAATGTTTCTTCATTGCCTTTTGGCTGCTCCCTTCAAGAGGATTTGCTGGTTTATGATTGTGGATGACTGTCTCATTGCTCTGAAACAAGACTGGCAAAGTTCTCTAACTGAGGGTTGTGGCATCTAATTACTCCTATAATGAAGTGCTGCTTTTCAACCCAAAGATAGACAAGCCATAGTTTGTTTATAAATTTTGTTAATGTGAAACTAATCCCAGTCCTATTGGGCCTCTCTTAGAAGGCCTCATCCGCAATCCAATGTAGAAGGATTCAGTCAGCTTCAGTAGTGGCTGGATCTGGTCACAGGGTGTGCTGCTGCCCCATGATTTGGAAAACTCTTGCATAATATGTTTTTGAGTGAATTTTTTGTTTGCCTAGGTGACTATTAGAGACTTCATCCTGCTTTCTCTTTGGACAAGCTTATTCAAGGAGTGCTGTTTGTGTCACCTTTCTGTCTAAAGCTTTTAAAAAAAACCCACAAACCCAAAACAAAGAACAAACTATGACAGGGTGGAGGTGTTTGGGTTTTTTTTTTTTGTGTATGGAGTTTTTTTGTTGGTGTTGGTTTTGTTTTGGTTTTTTTTAAAGAAAAATGTCTGATCTAAGACACCCTAGCCAGGCATCTGGTTCTTACTGTCTTCGTACAGCATTCCTAAATCACAGTTTGTGTTTGCCTCCATTTGTGTCCTGTCTTATGTTTTTTCCAAAATCTGTTGTCGTTTCCCCTCCCACCCATCAATTTTTCTGTAAGGTTTACTCTTACTTGCAGTACCGGTCATGATCTTGCAGCAGTCACGTTACCACAGTGATGTCTTTGTCTAATACTTTTCAGCACGTACTGTTGGGCCCTTCTTCCATTAAATACCCATGTCCAAATCTTTCAGGGTTTTTTGCTTTTTCCTGATAACGCTGATTAAATATCGATGTCATGTACAGTTATAAGACACCTTTCTTAACCTCAAGTTCACTTAAAGTAATTTAGAAGTGTTAATCAAATTCAAGTATGCTCTTATAAAATACAACGTTTGAATGATACACCATCTTTACACTGTGTACATAAATAAAAGTATTTTATTGAATAATTGTCTACCGTGAGTTTCATTTACTGATTAAAATAATGGCTATTATTTTTTACTTGCTATTTGTAGCTTAAACGGGTTTTGCAGTGCGTGTTCTAAAAAGATGACTTGTTTATTTTGAAATATTCAGTTAAACTTGACAAAGGTAACGTCATATCCATGGAAATAGCTACAAAACCTTGTAAACTAATGTCCCTTCACCAACATTTAACATATATTAACATGAGCATGTTTAGTTACATGACTAAAACACTAGGAAGTGTGGTATATGTAAGTATATATTAAAAACGGTTAAAAAGCATCACTTGGAAATGACCCTTCTGGCTTCTATATTTGAAGTGTATGGTCTATTTCTGCATTAGGCTCTAACTGCGAAGACACTTCATGGTTTAGTTATGAGCCACATTAATTTAAAAAAAAAACAAACCAAAACCAAAACAACAAAAAAACTGAAAACCAACAACTTGTCGCATTGCTAAATAACAAAATACAATCCTAGCATTAAATGTGTACGTGGTGCTTTGCAGGAATTAATTCCTGATGCTTTTTAGCATTAGTGAGTTAAAGGAAAATAGCGTCATTACTGACATTTTAATTATTCTTATGAGAATGCACTGTGTAAGCAACTGGCTGGCATAATTTTGCTAGCTGCCTCTGCAGTGAAGTCCTCCAGATTAACTGAAGCAGAAGTAAGACATTCATGTGTAAAGCTCTGCTAACTGTGGAATGTGTGTGGGTACAGACTGGGACGAGAAGAACAATGCGTAATAGTATTTGTATTAATAAGTCCTTTTTTTTTGGGTAAATAATATGTAAAAGGAATTTAAATGTTGTTAATGTTTTGCTATTCAGATGTTTTCAATTAAATATATTAAAATAAATAATAATAAATATATTTACTAAGTAAATATATTTTACTTAGTAGTTCTTACCATATTCCCAGAAAAGCGTTAGAGCACACTTATGCTGACAGTGTTATTCAGCCATTACAATCTTCTGATCTTGTGTCATGGCACTGGTATTTAAGTTGATAATTTGCAACAAAAAATAAGTGATGGTCATGAATGAAGTAAATTATGCCTGTTGCTCTAGTTGTCGGCTGCCAGATGGATTTCCAGTGTTGGAAGAGA